GCTAGGAAACATAATTGAAGAATGATTCCCGCGCCCACACCCATAAAATGAAATAGCTTTGATTTTCAAAAGCAATTTCTAAAAATATCTTGAATAAAAGAACAAGACTTGTTTCTGTCATTTTCAAAAGCAGTCTCTGTAATATTGGTCTCCAAAGGAGGAACTACACCATATTGATAAAGTATTACTCTGCAAACAGAGGTATTTCAGATTCTTTGTCTAACCTCGTAAATACGGGCCAGTTTTTATTAAAAATTTCTCTCTAAAGGCATTCCTTCTCATAGGTAAGTAGCTGTAGTGTGTTTTATCATAATCAGTTTAGTCACATATTTTTGAACTTTGATAAAATTTTGACTAAAATCCTTTTGATAATACCAGTGCTGTCTACGATTGAAATCCATTTTATATCTTTCACAACATATCAATTCCGTATGTGAAATTTTCAAACATAAGCGTTTAATCTTAACTAGAGTTTAATCTAAGTAGAATAGAGTTTACCCTTATCTTAACTAGAGTTCAATCTAACTAGAATAGAGTTTAACCTTAACTTAACTAGAGTTTAATCTAACTAGAATAGAGTTTAACCTTATCTTAACTAGAGTTTAACCTTATCTCTATTTCACTGGTGACAGTATAAAATCTGTTCCAAGAATTATAGAGTTAATAATTGCTGAATGTGAGTAATTAACTTGTTAATTTTGGAAACCAGAATTAAATCTTTATTCATAACAAAATAGTGTAAATCAACTGTACCTTTTGTACTCGAATTTTTTTTTACGACAGCTATAAAACGAAACCTCTAAATGCATCTTTTTTTTTAATTATGAAATATTAATTCTTCATAACACTGGATCATTAGTATTTCTTGAACAGGAGAAGCACAATAGTTACGGGAATATGAAGACTACCAATCTGATGCTTATTCTGTATGAGGAGCACAAGATGAAGTAGCCAGTAGCCATACCGACAACACATATTTCTAATTAACATAATTTAATAATTTCAGTGAAAAAATAATTTTGTAATTAATTAACATTTCTAAATAATTTACAAAAAGTAACTAAGTAACAAACAGAATAAAAAGTGCATTCAAACTGAGTTACTTTGAAAAAAATTTCTCTTGGAATACCGCTGACTAGTGAATTGATAAGATAATGGAATGCTGAACGTTTAATTTAAAATTAAAAATGAAGCTTTTTTTATTGTATATCTCAGATAAGTACGAGAAATAAATTGAAATAAATTATTTTATATGTTTTATTTTGGGTCAATAAAAACGAGTTCATAACCCCATAAGAAATTATTTGGTGCCCTTTCCAATACAGACGAATATCACATTATTTGTAATAAATATCTACTGCTTACCTATCAGGCTTACAGAAAGTACATTTCTAATGCATGTTAAGAAACTACACCAGTGGCTTTCTAAAAGTCAGAATTATGAAAAATAAGAGATAGTAAAGCTATCATAATTGGACCCAAAATATAAGGTACAAGGGTGAACTGATTAAAATTACAGACCCGCTTGATTTGTGGAACACAAAGAACGAATATATTGCGTAGTGGTCATGACTGGCAATAACTACTGCGATACAGCATTAGTCTAGGCAATTGGGAAAAAAAGGGGGGAATTAGGCATGTTGCTTGGGGGTTTTCAATCCATGCTGTATCCACAGTTTGCCAAAGCTCGTCTGTTGTAGCTATGTGTGGGGTACGTGGACCATTCGTTTGCCTATATCGATTAGAACTGTTCGATGGGTGACGTATCGGGAGAATCAGCAGGTCAAAGCAGCAATGTGACCCGATGAATAATGAAAAATTATTGAACACTGGACACCATGTGCGGTCACGCCATTGTCATTTTGAAATTTGGCCGCGAACAATATGCCCATCGGCTTATGCCAGTGTGTTGGGCTATGCAAATTTGTAAGGACCATGGATAATTGAGTTATCGCTAAGCTTAGGTAATAAATATTAGCTAAGATCACCAAGAGTCTCCAGATCTTTAGTGATATTGCGGTGGATGCATGTGCCGGTAGCAGGTACTAAGTGGGTGCCGAAGTAAACTTTGATGGCATGCATAATACAATGGTCCTAATGTCTGCCTTATCGATTGAGAAAACAGTATCGCGCCATTGATTTATCCATGTCTGGCCTTCAACATACCATTGCCATCATATATACTTAGGATGTAGAGTCACTGATAACAGCAATAATGGATGCCTCTTCTGCAGGCAACTTAATATAAAAGTTGGCACAGATTATTGTGCAACAGATCCTAATTCTTTGAATTGGGGCTCTTATATTACTGTGCGATCCATCACTGCCATGCGCGCAATATGCCAGTCTTGTCGTTCGATGATGTGAGAAGCTTGGAGCGGTCGTTACCGTCAGCCGATTCTTCCCTCCTGCACCCATCAGTCTATATCCGTAATACTTTGACTTGATTTCAGCCCACTCTAGTACCGATTTCTCTTAAAGATATAATAGTCGGTATAACCGCAATTCTGCTGTTAAATACAAAAACTTTCTCGAATGCTTGCAGTTTTTCTGACGAAGTATACTGAAACTTCTCAGAGTCTAAAAGTCAGAGGTATTTTAAAAATAGCCTATTTTTTACTATAGTGCTTCTAGGTAGTATTAATGGTGTAAATTATTTGCCTATGCAATGCAATGACTACTACTTACATGTTTTAACGAGGTCTTTACTCGCTGGAAATTTCAAGCCTATTGGGTACTTTTTTCACGTTGTTACATTTTTGGGTAGCCAGCAATTTATCAAGTATATCTAGATTTAAATCTGTATACGGAAGAAGAAAGAAGCCTAAATAGAAATTCTTCCATTTCAGGTCGAATGCCATGCGTATCTTCCTCAGAAACAGCTTCATGAGTTTTGTATGACACTCAGCATTGCATTAGTTGCTTATTCGCCACTTGGTTCCCCGGGACTTCCAGATTTTGCCCAGAAGTATTTCGGAATGTAAGTTTTATTTTATTTTCACTATCCACTTTACTATCTGGGAATAGATATCCAAATATTATCTGTCGACAGATAAATCAATGAAATATGCAGTTCTTTGGATAATTCAGAGATCAACATGGAATTCAGACAGAAAAATCTGTGATGTAAACAACGAAATGCAACTGATTCTTTGCCAGGTTAAAAAAGAGAAAATGATTCACCAGAAATCAAAAATTAACTTGTATAAATTATATGTTTTATCGGAAATAAATTTACACATATATATATATCTGTGTGTGTATTTATAAAGCGGATTTTATCACTCGAACTGTATTTTTTTCACTTTTCTATACATATGAATTTAGTTTTGTATTAATTTTTTTTTTAAATCATGCGAAGTTTTTTCTGTTTGTGCTGTTATAATACTGTTTGCTTACTTTCCATTTCTAAATAGTTTGTTATTTTTTCTTATCTTGACGTAAAATTTAAACAAAACAAAACTACATTAGTTATAAATAGTTCATTCACATGTCCTTTTCTCCGAAATTTTCAGCTAAATTTCTCCCAATTATTTTTTTTTTGGGGGGGAAAGAAAAAAAAAAACGAAAAAGAAAAGGGAAAAAAAAAAAAAAACTGACATTATTTTTGATGAATGGTGAATTCAGTTGCTATTAAAGCAACTGAATTCACCATTCATCAAGCGCACTTTAGAGAGATTAGTGTAATCAAAACTCAAAATTAATATTGCATACTTGACGAATCATCTTTGAAACAAGATCTTTTCTTAAATATCGTGATAAATATTTTATGGAAAAAAATTAATTTTTAGTTTATAAATCTTTTCCTTTAAAATGGAACATCAAGGGTTTAATTATTTGAAACATGTATGTGCGCAAATAAAATATCTAAAAAAATTTGTCAATGAGCTTTAGTCATTTATGCTTTGGGGTTTTTCCAATGAGCTTGCAGTTTTTATTTCCTTAAATTTTGTTAATTGGCATGTGCTTTCAGTTACTAAGTTTCTTAAAATAAGGTGAAGAATTTTATCAGAATAGTTTTATTAAAGGAATAGAATAATTTTGTAAATCAGAAAATAAATTTTTTATTACATTTTCCAAAGAATATAATTTCTATGCGTATAAAATATTCACTGTGTATTAGTTAAATGCAGGAAGTTCTATAACTTTACTGGAAAAATACCTCAGAAACATCTTAGAAAATTAGTGCTATGTTACCTGTAATCACAAAAATAAGCAATTTTTATTTTAGACGTGCTTTCTTATGAGAATATTTAATTAAAATAATTAAAATTAAAGCACATTTCATCGCATGAAATGGTACATTCCCCCCCCCAATACCTTTCTGAATTTTGTGCATAAAGGATGAAATATTTTATATTCAGTTCAATATTAAAACTTCCATTTAAGGATACATTTGGGACTGAATTAAGTTTCCTAAATGAGTGACGTCCTTAAAACAGAGGTTGTCAATAATTTTTTTATAATTTACTTTCGTCATACAGAAAAATATGTACTTTAAACTTGCACCTTCACAGAAAACATTTTGCTTAAACTTGCTCTTAACATGAAAATTATTATTTTTGATTCATCATATTCCAATGCTGCCATCTCATCAATTAAAATTTATTCATAAGCAAATTCGATCTAAATATATTTTCCAATAGTTGTAAACTAATTTCAGAATCATTTATCACCATTATTTTCCCATATTCTATGGCTTGTTGTATCACATATTCCGAGGCAAATTAGGATGAGGGGTTGCACTGTTAATTCACAACATTAACAAATCTTCTGTTTTAATTTTTTTTTAAATTTAATATTTGATTCAGCTGAACTAACCAATCAATTTTTATTGCTTTAGTCATTTATGCTTTGGGGTTTCTGCAATGAGCTTGTAAGGATTTTAAGTTTTACTAACGTTTATCTTTTTTTAAAACTTTGCTATCCTCTCTTATTTGTCATTTCTGGCCAGAATAAACGGGAACAGTTTTGGTTTTGCAAATTGAGCTTGTAAACTGTTAAGTATTTAGATATGAATAGAAATATTTCATACAGATAGGACTAGTGAAAGAACTTTCACATTATTCTTTCAATATTTCTGCATCAGCACTGAAATAACTTTTATAAAATATCTGTTTGTCGGTGAACCAATTCTTAGTTTCCACTTTTCACATGTTTCAATACTGATTTTTGCAGATTCACCAAAAAGCATTTCAGCAGGCCCTACCCCAATCTAGAAGTGTCCGTAAAATAGATCTAAATGTACTATATAAAAGTATTATACTCTGAAAGACTTGAAATTGGTCTCTATGCACAGGTTTTACAGCATTTTGGAATTTCTTTAGACATTTTACTGTAGAACAAGCTGCCGTAAAAAAAATTAAATTTATAAACACTTTCTAACCCTAATGTTGAAATTGCTTCACACTGGGTTATTTTGAGAAACTTTGTGCTAGGAAGTGCATATTAAGTAAACAAAAGCCATAGTTACTTTTTGGAACATCTTGCATATTCGTATTTAACAATATGCTGAAATTTTCTTTTGCGCAAGAATTTGTTTATTGCAAACATCTTCTATTACAGAGAATATCATCAAGAACGTTTACTTGATGATGAATTGCTAAAATCAGTTGCAAGAAAACATAAAAGGAGTCCAGCTCAGGTAGATAAATCACATTTTCTCTTTTTTCTTATTCACTGGTCAAGTAAACAATTAATAGAATTAAAAAAAAATCATAAAAGTGCAGGATTAATCAAGGATGTCTGATAGTAGTGAAAATCTGAAAGCATTTTTACTGATTTCTAAAAAATAAATATATTTTCCTGTATAGATTTTGTTGCGATATCTCATAGAGAGAGGCATCGCTGTGATACCAAAAAGTTGCAGTCCTACAAGAATCGAAGAAAATATTCAGGTAACACTATTATACCTCTTTGAACGTAATTTTCTTTCTAAAAAACTTCAAATCACCTTTTTACAAAAGTAAAATATTTATTCTCACTAAGCATTAGATTAAATTTTCCAATATGAAGATGTGCCAACTTTTTTTTTTTTAATTTTTAAAAATCAATTTATTTAAGCTTTTGTGTAATTTAAATAATGTTAAATTTACTTTATCAATGCATAATATTTTATTTTTCATGTTTTAATAAATCATACTATAAACAGAAAGCTACGATTTCTTTCTTTTTATGCTACGATTTTATATTACAAAAGGCAGAAAGAGAAAAAAAATAAGAAAAAAATTTAAAAAAATAAAAAAAATCTGAAAGATTTCAGATTTTAAATTACGTCTAAAGGGGCATTTTTTTTTTTAACATTTTGTCTGTTACGTTTATTTATTAAATATCATGTTCTTCGCACTTAAACCATAATATTCAGTTCAACAGCAATATAGCAAAATAATTTTAAATTGAGACTATGCTTAGAATTCCCAATACAGAGTCTCGCGCTGGAGATAATTTTTTTTTCCCTTACAGTATTGCCATTGCTCGCTTTGAAATCGTTTAGCTTGTTAATCAAAAATTCGTTGAAGTGTTACAAAATATGAAATCGATAATAAAACAAATTTGAAATTCAAATCAGGGCTTCCACATGCCCCTATTCTACAAAAGATAACGTTATTCAAATGTTGATGGCTCTAAGTACCTTTGTTTTTATAACAGTGCGAGAAACATACATACATTCATGCATATTTTTCACTATTTAATTTCTTTAAATAAAATTTAAATAAAATACAGTGCGATAATATTTGGTGGCAACAATTTGAAAAGTGAAACAACGGTTATCGTGAATCGACGCAAAAAAGCAAAACGAAATCAATAGTCTTTCTGGACAAATTGCCCCTTTGGACTAAAAATGCGTGTGGCGTGGACACTGTCATCTGAGCAATGTCTCAAAATGTATTTAAAGGTGAATTTATTCTAGACTTTTTATTTTCCCATGCAATTTATACCGTAGAGAACTTCACACTTTCCCTTATTCGATTCGTTAGAAAATCGAGACTTACTAACATATATAACTCTATACTAATAAAGAATTAAATTTGATTAAAAGTGCAGGGTGGTAAAAAAATGCAGGGTGGTCATAAAAATACTTCCCCAATGTTATGTCGTGGAGCAAAAACAATTTTACTTTACACCTGACTGCCATGGCCGACATAGCAATGTGAATACTTAATCTAAAATTTAAACACCATTCCAGATTTTAAATGTTTATTTCGAATTCTATTCATATATTTGCAAGTTATACACTATAAACACAATAAAAATTTGAATTTATATGCACCAGCGTGAATAAGCCGTCATATATTCTGAACTGACACAACTTTAGCAGAAAATTACCGCAATTCAAACACAAGGTTTCATCTTTCCAACGCAGTAATTTTCTAAATATATTTTACTAATATCCGCAGCGGGACAGCGATTCATTTCATTCACCCAAAACTCAAATGTTTTAACAATAATATCGCAAAGGAAAATGACTCAAAATCAAAATATTAAATCTGTAGAATATCATCTGCTGTTGCCATTCCAGCACTGCCAAGTTTTTCTCCCTGCAGCTGTTGCCAGACTTATCCTCGCTGTATGATGAGAAGTACAACATCCAATATATAATACATGAACTTCTAGCCGTCTATCCGCTCAACCAATCGAAATGAAATTTCAGATGCTGTTATTTGAAAGGTATACGCTCAAAATTGAGATAATTTACATTTGCGAGGGCAAAAGTGGATGTTGCCATTCGAAAATTCTTCACGGTAACATAAATTTTCTCACTGTAATCGTGGGGCTCTTGTTTTAAATCATCATAATCTCGAGCGCAAACTGTCAAATAACAATATCTGAAATTTCATTTCGATTAGTTGAGCGGATAGGCCTCTAGGGAATCATATATCAAGGAGGTTTTCTATGGCCACCCTGGATATATACCACGTGATTAATTAAAAACTAGTTAGAACTTTAAAAACTACTTAAAATAGTCTTGCGTGCGTACGGGTTTGTAATAGATTGAACGCGCAAGTCTGATGAAAAGTTAATAAAATTTATGTTTTCATCTTCAGTTTACGTTTGATGAGTGGCGTCGGACATTGTTCCGAGCAAAAATCACCAGCTATCTAAATAATTGTATTATGTACATTCTACGGAAAAAAAAAGGAGAGAGGAGTTCTACCGTATACGCTCACGTAATGTCCGCACGGGTCATTCAAATGTCGCGCTTTTTCTCGTGCGTAATTTTGGGTATAAATTTCATTTCAAACAGCCAAGTTGTTAACTAAGTGAAAGAAAATGGCATAAATAATAAAAGTATCAAATTTAAAGTTGTCTAATACCTACCTAAAATTTACAAACTCATTTTCTCCCATCCATATATATAATATAAATTACCCCGTTCACGTTATCAACACTCGGCGCGTATTAGTTAGCCCAGAAGCACAATATAGAGACACAAATTAACTAACACTTGCAGTTTTAATATTTACTTTTACGCAAATTAAATAAACGTTGGATCTTTTAACATCTTGCACACATTATTTTTTAAAAAAAAATCTGTTCTGACGTACTGTATGAAAATCCCATTTCGTTGCATCATTGGCCACAACCAGCTTTACTCGCCTTGAATTGCAATGTAGGAATATCTTTTTCTCGTGCCGCAAACGCTCTTACACTCACGTTTGTGAAAATTGCAACATCAAGAAGGAATCGTCATAATTGAATGCAATTTAATACACAGTTGAGTGGTAGTGGTACAAATAAATGATTAAATGTTCAAAGCAAACAAACAAGAACAAGAGATCAGAATCAGTATTTTGTGTGGCCACCACGCGCCGCAATAAGTGCTGCTACACGACGTGGCATGGAGTCAAACAAAGTTTGAATGTCTGACTGAGGAAGAGCATTCCATATCGTTTGTACGCGTACCCAAAGTTCGTCTGCAGACGCAACAGGACGAGGATCACGAGCAAGACGCCGACCAATGACATCCCACATGTTCAATGGCGACATATCGGGGAACACGCAGGCCAAGGAAGAAGCTGTACCTGCTCGCTGCAAAGAAGGATTTTAACAATCCGAGCAGTATGAGGGCGGCATTGTCCTGTTGAAATACAGCGCCTGGAAAGCTTGAAGGAAGGGAACAGCTTCGGGCTGTAGAACTTCACGGATATACCGGTTGCTGTTCAGATTGCCCACAATTCGTAGCAATTGAGATCGTCTATGTATGCTATGGCGCCCCGACCATAACTCCGGTGTTCGTCACTGTGGCGTTCGATAATGCACTCCGGAAGGTGGCTTCACCGGCATAGCGTCTGACACGAATGAGGCCATCATGGTACCACAAAAATAAAGCGGGATTCGTCAGAAAAACACGACATGCTGCAATCAGCACGCCAGTCTCTATGCTGATTGCCCATGTAGCCGCAGGCGGCGATGGTCGTGCGTTGGGGATCCTGTATAAAGGAGTCCGTGCGCGCAGTCCCCCTGCAGCAGAGTCTACGAATTGATGAAGACACAATGAAACACCTGTAGCTATTGACCACAGTGCTGCCAATTGTCTAGAGGAAGCTGTACGGTCCGTCCGCGCCATGCGGACCAGGTTCTCATCGCGAGCTGACGTCACATTCGGGTCATCCCGGATTTTCCGAATTGTCCGACACTCGTCCGTCCACTGCTTCCAAAACGCGCATCACGTGCTGCGTTACGCTGAACACGAGAGGCTACTGCACGATACGACAATCCACCTTCACGAAGGCCGATGATTCTCCCTCGTTCAAAACTCTGTAAGTTGTTCAAATCTCGCTCTCTTCGTCGACGAGGCATAAGTACAGATTGAGTTAACGTTTACCTAGCAGATAACCACCGATAACCATACACGCTCGCTAAGCCTCTATTTATTCGGATCCATCGCGTTCAGGGTTGAGAGGGGCTGCTCAGATACGCATGCGCTACGGATTTGCAATTCTAATCATTTGCATATCATGCGCTACTTTGCATTTCCTGAAAATTTCAGCTCACTCGCGTAAGTCCTTCATGGTGTTGCAATTTTCACAAACGTGAGTGTATTTGGTACATTTCCCGTGTTACTGCGTACCCTTGAACACGCATATCACGAAAATACGCAATTATTTTTTTTTTAAGTTCGGAAAATTACATTTCGAACCACGAAACGCACGTTTTGTTTTGTTCGTTGCCGCCAGTTCATCACACTTGTTTGCTCCAATTGCGCACACACTTTTCGTCCACCTTATATATTCCTGCTGCTGCTCTTTTTTTATTTTCCTGCGCACAAATTCTACGACTTTTAGTTTAGAAGCCGCTGTATAGCTGCTGCATTTCCCCATTTCAAGCAAGCTATTTGGTAACTACCACGAATTCCAAATGATACTATGAATGAAAAGAGAAAGCTTGAAATATGCGAAGGCTCCAGGGAGGAAAGAGGGGAAAGTAATTTCATTACAAAACAATTTCCTGGAAGCCAGTGTGTCGAAAACTTGCTTGGACTGCCTTCATTCATTATCGCGTCTGATATGTGGATTGCTGGCACCGATGTTATAACTGAAAAACAGCTGCACCAGAGTGCAAGGAAAATCTCTGCTTTATATCCTGGCGCCAACCAAAGACAAAACACATTCTGTCTTTAAAGATGTTTATTGACTAATGTTATTGACTAAAGAGGAAAAAAATGATGTTAAAAAATACTGTAAAGTAAGGAATTCTTTAATTTTTGGCGTATGGACATTGTGCGGGTCAAATTTTTTTACGTAAATTTTATTTGTAAAGTTGGGGTGCGTACATTACACGAGCGGATACGGTATATCTCCCGTTCTACTGGGCCGATTGACGAAATTTAGCTCGCATTTTTCATACTGACACAGGTATTTTGACATAAAATCGGACTTTTTCTGAAATGAAATGCCTGAATTTTTTTTACATATTTTGATTCTACGACTCAAATTATGCCTAAATATTCAATTTTGTAAAATTTGGTGAGAAATTTAAAACTTTATCTTGACGCACTTTTTCAATTTCCGTCGAGAATAATTCATTTGGCAAAATCATTAATTTATAGAAACCTATTTTCCTTTCCCTTTGTGCACGAGCGAAAAAAAAAAAAAAAGGTGCATTGTTTAATCTTTCAAATAATTCGTTTTTTTTTTAAAATCATAACTGTTATTTTTAGATTCGCAAACCACATTTGGCGTGATTATTGCTTAAGACAAAGATGTCAAATTTCAAAATGTGCCAATATGTAAATTCACGAGAAAATATGAAATTTTATATAAAAACTATATTTTCCAGGTATGCTTAGAAATTTATCTACGTTAAGGAGATGGTAAAAATTTCATAGATAACAATTCAAAAAATTACTAAAGAATACAAATTTAAAAAATAAATCAGAAAATATCTGCGAATTTTATTTGGACTGAACCCAAATTTCGAACTGTGAAAGAAAGAATCAAGTAAGTTTAATGAAAAAATCTGATATGTACACCACATGACTTCCTTGTACGGAATATCAAATTATTTTCCTGCATTTCATTTAAACATATTGAATTAACGCAAAAACAAGCAATTCGGCCAGCGGGCAAGAAGGCGGTTTCGGGCACAAAAACTTAAAGTTTGCTTTTGGTCTCACTCGGCAAAAAGACACTGAAGGCGTAGAAACTGCTTTATTTTGTTGTGGACGTTATGCTGAGTCAATATATGAAATAATTTAATAACTTAAATGATAATTCCAGAAGGAATTAAGCACAAATTTAATTCGGAATAATAAAAGAAGACGTTACTTGTTGTTGCGAAGCTAGTTCTCTAGCGTGGAAAAAATCACTATTCTGCTAAGTTTCAAATGTAAGCAAATCGCCTGCTATGCTAAACAAAAATCGGTTAGGCGCTTAAACAACTTTTAAATTGTTGATAATTCTACAACTATAATATGCAGGTTAACTAAAGGCATAAAAACTCAAGCTGAAGTTAAGAACAACAAAATTCAATCATTTTAAAGCAAGTATCTGAAACCTTTCAGATTTATTACTTTTTAATTTGTTTAATTTCTTTTATATATCGTTTTAGATTTATTATAGTATTTAAATAGAACACGTGGTAATTCTTCTTATGATATAATTTTTGAGTATAAAATGAATGCGATGTAACGCTGTTAAGTGAACTTACCTCCAAAGTGTCGCTATGGTAAATAAATATTGAGAACTTTAAGAGTGCAATTATTCTATTGTGGTTTATGCGCTATAGACGAAGTAGATTTAATTCAAAATTCGTTAACTGTTAATTCAATATGTTTAAATGAAATGCGGGAAATTTGCGTATAATTTAATATTCCGTACAAGGAAGTTATGTGGTGTACACATCAGATTTTTATCATAGTGTACCAGTAATAGAATTACGTTCGGGACAAGTTTAACTTTACTGAAATTTAAGTGCTGATGCCATTTTTATCCGTGTTGTTTTATTTGCATCCAGTTATCTTGGCTTAAGTGAATGTGCTTCCTCTGTTCAGACAAAAATCATTACACTCACATAGCCTTCTTGGGAAAAAAAAAAAAAAGAGCATATGGCTCGAATATCAGGAAACATTTTCTACTTAATGTAATTATTTCTCAACAAATCCGTATTTAGGCTGTACAGTCTGATTTATGTATAAATATATGGGTTCCTCAGACTGAATTTAAAAACAAAGCAATCTATAACTATTAAAGGCTGCAATAATTAATTTATACTCTCACAATTATGAATACCATTTTATATGGATATTTGAAAGGGAAATTATTATGATTGCCTGACATGCAGTTCTAATTCAATACAAGTTATAGGTATAATGCAGTTTGAAAAATGTATCATATATTTTATTCTGCTACATTTTCTTCATAACAATAAAAGATAAATTTCTAAAATATGGTATAATTACAAATTTTTTATAAGTTCCAGTGCACTTTTAAAACTTCAAAACATGACTGAAATACTCTTAAACTCGTAACTACTCGTAGTAATGATTCTGTAAACTAGTAATGATTCTGTGTAGTTTTAGAAGCATTGGAATCATGTATTGAGTAAATATAATGAATCAAGGAATGATTAATATTTTTCTTTCAGGTCTTCGATTTTTCCATAGAGAAAGAAGACTTATTTATATTAAAATCGTTAGGAGGCAAGAATTTAAGATATTTTTCCTTTGATTTTTTTAAGAAGTAAGTAATTATTTTATTTTCAATACTTGTATAGTATTATAGTATAAATCATTCATAGAAGAATCTCAATCCATTGCTTTCCAACAACTCGTATATTGTTCACCTATTTCTTAGACTCGATATTATGACCGGACTATTGCTAGGTGCAACGTTCCCCGTTCAATGAAGTGATGCCCGAAAGCACATAATGAACTTTGGACGTCGAGAGAATCTCTTAAGGAGAAATTGGAGGCAAGGTAAAAGAAAAAGGAGGGTGGCTTAAAAGGACCAAAGCCAAAAAATAATCAGACAGATGACTCCGTGCTTGACGAGAGTTGAAAAATAACCTTAGTTATGAGATGATGGAGTAGAAAACAATACAAAAAACGAGAAATAGTCAAGATACTATATACAGAAAACAACCTATAAGATTACATACAAATACAAAGCCATTTGACAAAACATTAAAAATAAACTACAGAGTTGCAAAGCAGACAAAATTTCCATACAAGTTCAAAAATCAGCCAAGCCTGAGATCAGATGAATGGAAAAGTACAGGCAACCACCAATCGAGGAGCTAAGTAACAAAATTCTGGTTGCCATCGATGATAGCATGTGCAGCAAGAGGTCTAATATTTTTATCTTCGTAAATTATCTTATAATTAAAAACCTGTGAATAGTTGATGAAGTCACATTGGACAGCCTTAGTAAAAAATTTCTCATTCGTCCTTTTGATATATCACAAATAGTATCAATTTTTAAATCCCTATTAAGGAGTTCATTTCGGATCAAGTTGTCAGCAATGGTAATAATGCGCAGGAACTTGTTTTGAACCACTTGCAGTTGGTAAAGTTGGTTCTTCGTTGCCGCGTTCCATGCTGAAGCAGCGTAACATAAAATGGGTCTGATGCACTTAGTGTAGATGCGTCTCTTGGTGCGAAGGCTAAGATTAGAATACTTCCTTATAGCACGGAGGAATCTGCTCATGCTTCCAATGGCTTTACTTCTGACACTTTTGATGTGGTTAGCCCATGTCTCCGATTCAGAATGATACCTAAGTGCTTGGCATGTTTGACGATAGGAACTGGTTCTTGAAACAAGAGAAGTTCTTTAAAGTTGATACGTTTTCGGGTCTTGCTGAGAATTAGTAATTGAGACTTGCTAGCATTGATTTTGACAGGCCAGTTGGTACACCAATCTTCCACGGAATAAAGATAGTTTTGCATCTTGGTGATAGCTTGATTTGCTTTGATAGATTTGATGGTTATCGCCGTATCTTCGGCGTAGAAGCAATTAGAGAGTAATTGTCCAGTCCGGGATGCCGGAAATCGGATATATATTAAAAAAGATAGAATATAAGACCTAAGATACTTCCTTGTGGCTCGCTTTATCGAATAGTTCGCGAAGCAGATGTTGCGTTGCCTTGGACGACAAAAAAGGTATGATGTTGAAGGGAGGAGAAGATGATGAGAATCAATTCTCTTTGAATGACCAAGTTGATAAGTTTTAAGATGAGCCTCTCGTACCAGACGCGATCAAAGGCTTTTGCCACGTCTAGCATAAAGAGCGCTACACTTTACTTATTGTGGAAAGCTGATCCTATGAACTCAGCAATTCTCACTAATTGTCTGGTGGTACTTAAGGTTTTACGGAAACCATATTGATCATTAGGAAGAAGATGGAAGTATGGTTCCAATCTTTTTAGAATGAGACATTCATAGATCTTTCCAAGACTTGACAGAAGACTAATTGGGCAGTATCCATCAGGTTGTGTGGTATCTTTTTCAGGTTTCGGAAGAAGAAAGATTTTAGCCTGTTTCCAAGAGTCCGGGAAGCAAGCATTTAGGATGCTAGGGAATTTACTAATTACTTAAGCATCTTATTAGTGATCTGATCACTACCAGGAGCCTTTTTGACATTAAGGTATCTAATGATGTTGATAACTTCCAAAGGAATAGTTAGTTTTTGTGAAATGTGAGCAGTGGGAGTATGCAGTCAAAAAAATACATAGTTTTCAAGCACACTTTTAAAGGTAGAGTTAATAGGATCCATATTATGCGAAAATTGATTCTCCAAATATTATTCGGCAAAAATGTCCACTTCATCTTTAAGGCAATAAGCAACTTTGTTTCCAGCATGAATTGGCCTATTATAGATATTCTTCTTATGATTTTGCAGATACTTCCAAAGAAAGCCATCATTGATGTTAAGTTTTGAAATAAATTCTTCTTTAGTCTCTTTGTTAAATTCATAAATAAGTTTTCTTGATTCTTCTTTTGAAGGTGTTTATTTCTCTTTTGAAGTTCGGGTCCCAATTTCTGTGCCACAGTTTGAGCATTCTGTTACGTTCTTTAATAACGTCCCTGATACTACGTGGAAGTCTAGAGACATTAGTTATTTGGAAGCAGAAGAGATGAAAAATGAACAACACCTTCACCGCGACTCGAACCACGGACCTCTCGAATTCGCGTCGAGCGTGCTTTCCACTACACCACGAAGGCATGCTAAGAAGGCGGGAGAAATACCTTATTGTCTGATGTGATTATTAGTGAGCGAGTTTTAATAACATAGTCAATATCTTGTTTATTGGAAAGGGATGAAATATTTGGCGGATGTTTAATTAAGATATTATGAAAGGTGATCCAACCAGTGTTGTTTTTGATGATAGAAGGATCTTTTTCTGTGATTCCAAGAGAAGGGATAACGGGAGCATGATCCGAAGTAAGCCCAGCTTCTTTGACTTCTAGAGCAATGGGCAACCAGGTGTTGGATGAGATGATGTCCAGAATATCAGATTGACTTGGGTTAGCTGGTCTGTAGGTAGATTCAGTCGGAACATGTAAGGCGATAGGATGGTTGCTGATGAAGCTGTGGAAGATGCGACCGTTGGCATTGGTCTGCCGACAGCCCCTATCGATATGTTTAGTGTTGATGTCACCAGCTAGGATGACTTCATTGTCATCAGGAGGTAAATTTGTGATGAAGTGATGAGGCGTATTGTAGATTGCACAAAAATGAAGAGTGCCATAGTTCGGAAGAACAACAGTCACCACAACACTTTCATATCTACCAATATTATTAGTAGAAACAAGGCAGGATTGTAGAGAATTTTTTACATGGGAGGCAGCAACTCCACGCCTTTGCATAAGCCTGTCGTTTCTGTACGTGCGATAATTTTGAATGAAAAATCTATCAGCTGGGATGGTTTGAGTCTCGGAGACCAAGCTGATACCTATGGCATATTCTTGTAAAAAGTCCGTGAATTCGTCAATTTTGTTAGTAATGCCAGTGATATTTAAACACAGCCTAACACAGTTTGATGAGTCTGTTCATATTATTGAATTTGCTGGACTGTTTTATTTCTGATTCTTTTGAAGATTCTTGCTGTCTGATATTTTGAGCTAGTAACTGAATGCCTGAACTTTTCAGGAAGTTAACTAAAGTATTGAGATCATCGCAGATCTTTTTTGCCTCTGTGATAAAACTAGGAATAGATCCGTTAGTGGTTTTAAGAGCGTCCGCAAAGGACTTATATATAACGAATCTGTTAGTATACATTTTAGTTTGTTCATGTTTCGAATGTTTAGGAAACATTCCGCAACCTTTAAAGGAAGCTGTATGATCAAGACAATAGTTGGCGCACTTGGTTGGTTCGTTTTTGTCTTTCGTGCACTGTCTTGAGTCATAGTTTGCACCACATTTTACACAACGAAAGTCATTGTTGGATACAGCTTGCGAATGATGAAAACTTGACACCTGAAACACTGGACTCGGCTAGTGCGTACTTTGTAAGGTTCCACTTTGATCTGCAGTCCAAGAATTTTGGTTTCCTGTGAAATTTCTCTGGATTTATCAGTCGTTGGTAGAGTTACGAGAAAAAAAGGATCTTTTTTAAAATTCATCCTTTAAATCTGCGAGATAATTCCGTGACACTAATAACATTATTAGTTTTTGTTACGAAGTTCCGTTTTAATTTCTTCAGGATCTACGTCAGGAGTAAGATGTCGAAAAACCACCTTGAGGTTCTTATCTTCAGGCAATATGAAAGAGTGATATTTGACATCTTTATCATTGAGTATACGTGTCATTTTCCTGTGGATAGTAGCATCTGTAATCTTGAATCTATTTTTCTGCATATAACCAGCGTAATCAAATTTATATGATAAGTTATAATCAGTAAATAAAATTTTTAGTTGAGCCCAATTATATTTTTTGTCATTGACATATACGGCAAGAGGTGTTTTTCTTTTTTTAGGTTGGTGAATTTGGTTTTTCTCTTTATTAGTAGATGAGCTTGGCTCAATGGAACAAGTTTCCATAGATTCTTGATCTGGATTAATTGGTGTATTCATGATATTAAATTGTGATGCATTAATAGCACGAAAGTGTCCCTTTTTTCTTTTAGCAACAGTTCTGTCAACTTTAGGTCTTTGTTCCGATTCATTACCAGAACTATCAGTGTCTTGATCAAGTGGAATCTTTTTCGTTGCACTAGCATTAGGTTTACTTGGCGAACTTTTCATTCTTTTCCGTTTGAATATTTTCCATTCACTATCAATGGAAGCAGGAGATTCATTTTGTGATTGTTCCAAAGATAATTCAATTTCTTTTTCCGCAGTGATTAATGCTTCATATACTATTTGAAGAAAATCCAATTCACGATCTTCTTTGGCTGTGATACTTTCATTATTCTTCTTTGATTTGAGCTCCTCGACGGTAGCCGCAAGTGCTTTCAGAAGAGAATCCATAATCCATTAAGCAAAAGAAATCCTAAACAAAAGGAGCCTGTGCAGATCCAACCCAAATGGATGAAAACCGACGCCGGCAACCAGATCCACTTGACGGTGTTCTGGCAGACGGATGAGCCGGCGTAACCTCACAAAGCCCTTGGCTTCCACCTAACAATAGAAGCTAGAGAGTAACTATGTGAGGTGACAATTCAAACAATAAAAAATCCAAAGAGTAAAAATCCAACCAATGGCTTTATTGTATGACATAATCTAGATGAAGGATAAAATAAGAATACTGAAGAGTGCAATTATAATGCAGGTACAAGTCCCCCATAGTGATTAGTAAAAGCCTGGGATAGCATGTGTGTGTGATTATGGCAAAACCTTGCGGACTATCTGCCTAAGGGTAGGGATGCCTTTCTAAGGAAACCTGGCTCGTATATACGTTACACATGGGGAAAACCACGAAAACGCCCATGCAGCCAGCCCGTTTGCGGGATTCGAATCCTGGACCGAACTACCAGTGTTCAGCGACTTTACCGGTCGGCCGCCTGGGATAGAGAAATGAAAACTGGTAATGAACATCCAATCACAGATCGTCAAAAGTCACGTGACTTGAGAACTAATTTTTCCGTCGCAAATGCTACTAATGCTAAATTAAAATGAAAATTTGAAGTAAATCTTGGTATCTTGAAGTAAAGAAATTAAATTTCATCAGCAAATTTCAACTGTTCTAAATGTCGAAATCATTTTATGGATGATACTCTGAGAACTTCGAATAAGATGAGCTATTTCAATGATTTTATTGATAAGCCGAAAAACTTTAGGTTCTTGAAAAATTTCTGGGATTTGTTTTTCTGATTTTAAGGTGTTTTGTATTGCTGCACTGTAGTTAGCTTTAGAAGTATTTGATGTTTTATTGATTTCTGTATTAGTTTTAAGGACAGTAGTGGCAAAATATTCTTTTGTAAGTAGTGAGTTTTGACTTCTTCGGATTTTTCAATTTTTCGTTTGTAAATTTTACACCCTCTGTAGGAACTCACGCGATTTTCTGAACAAAATAGGCATTTCGGTTTTTGATTTTCTTTTAAGAGTGCATGTATTACTACAGTGATTACCTGTACATTTACACATTTAACTTGGTTAAAACAATTAGTTTGCGAGTGTCCATACTCTTGACAGTTGTAGCATTGGATGAGCCACTTTCTGGGATGTGCTTTTCTATTATAATTTTGAAATCACACATGTTGTTAAGTCTGTGTATGCTTTCTCTAGCTTATTTTCTGTGAAGTTCCAGGAAATAAATCGAGTTTAGAATTTTTTCATTATCAATCTTCTTAGAGAATTGTCGAACCTTAATGATCGGAAAACCTCTTTTTGATAGGCTGTCTTAGATTTCTGATTAGGTAAGAGGCATATTTTTGAGAATTACTTTGATAGAAGTTTCATTATTAAGTTGGTAGGTATGGAATTGGTTTCCAGCATTTTTTAAGTTGGTAACAGTAGTTCTAAAGTCGGTAATATTTATGGTTTGCAAGTAAATTACTCGGTTTTTTCATGTCTGCTTCAATGTTTTCTTTACAGGTATCCGTACACAATTTATGAATTGACTTCCAATCTGGGTTAAGTTACGTAATTACTATAGGAGGAATTGCAGTTCTAAATAAAGTCCTGAAGTTCTAAATAAATACTGGTATTTATTTCTGCATCCATTGTTCACTGTATTAATCATTTGATCATGTTACTTCCAGAAGCATTTTGAGCATGGATTATTTAGAGGGAGAAAAAAATCAAATGAAATATTATTCATTGTTTGCACTATAAATCACAAAATATAATAATAATAAAAACCTGAAGGCCTTTCACATTTTATATTACGCCCCAAAAAAGGCGTTTTTTTTTAACATTTTGTGTGCTACCTTTATTGATTTCTCATTTAAAACACATAAAATTAAATTTAACAGCAATATCACAAAATATTTAAAAACAGCACATCCTTAGAATTTTCGATACACATTCTCGCGCGCTGGAGATAAAAATGTTTTTTTCCGTACAGTGTTGCCATTGCTCGTTTGAAATCATCGAGTTCGTTTATCAAAACTTCGTTAAAGTTTTACAAAATTTTAAATAGATAATAAACAATTCGAATTGACTTCAGCTTCAAGTGCCCATGTTCGGTGGAGAAATACGTTATTCACAATTGAGGCTTAGTATCATGTTTCGTCACACTGCGAGAACATTCATGAGTTCTTTCTTATTTAGTTTCTTTAAATATAACACATGGCAATAATATTTGGTGGCAACAGTTTGGAAAGTAAATCGACTCAAAATGGGTTCATATGTGGGGTCCTAAGCCTATGTTATTAATGTCATTTCTATATGTTTATTTGTGGCAGCAAATTTATTTCTATTAGTTTTTGGAGACTTTAGAATCCTTTTCTAGTTTGCATTTATAGAAATTTGGAGCAAGAAGATAAAAATATACACAAAAAAAGGGGTCAAACTTTAACACACTATAATAAAACAAGATTATACAACTTACTAGTTTCTTTTTCCTTACAAATAAAATGACCAAGGTAGCATTTAAAACCTCAAAAGGTTATATTTTCAATTGATGTAAAATTCCACCTAGAAACAAAGGCAACAATATATGACATTTTTTAACAAAATTAGTTTTTCATTGTAGTGCATTCATGTTGATACTAGTAAAGGAATTTATTTACGATGTTTATTTGGCTTCCTGACTAATGTTTTCCCCCATTTTCACTGAAAAACGATTGACAGGGGTTCCACTAACTATACCAGCTCAACCTTTTGATTAACGCGTACCACCTAAAAAAAATTGAGAAACTTTAGTAGTACTACCACTATATTTTACGATTATTTTTCAATTTCTCAATAGATATATTAAAAAAAAATTAATTATGCCAAAAGGTTCTGCCAGCTGCACAACCTATTGGCTATTTGTATTAAATATGCACACAAAAATAGATTAAATATTGATTATCATTTTAATTATCAAAAATTTAAGTTATAATACTTGAATTCTAAAATTTAGTGCAAAATTAGGATCTGTTTAAGAGTCAATTTCTTTATGCCAGGTCTTATTTCACTTAACCGCAAATTAGGATTAGTGATGGGCAACTTCGGTACTTTCTTGTACCCGGTA